CCTTTCTATTGGCTTGAGCAGGAGTCAAACTCGGCTGCCAGGATTTTTTTGCTGGAGATAGTCTCATTAACTGAGCATGCTGGGGCGGGGCGAGGAAAGTCAGAATTGTTAGGAAATGGCTTGTTCTCCTGGAAGTGCTGGAAGAGGGCAGAGAGGCCCATATTGGATTCTGAGAGTCACATTTGGGGCGTAGAAGACTGCAATGGATGTGGTGACTCTGGTATGCAAATAGTCGGAATTTGGAGAGGGGACAGCATTACTTCTGAGGATGAATGTTTTTTCCTCAAATCCCTCCATGTGAGGAAGACTGACTAGGGACTCTCTCATCTACAGAGCTCTTTGCTGGTAAGGTCCTGAGTTGTTGGTATTTGTCTGGGTCATCCATAAACAGGTCTTGAGTGCTGCACTGATGGCTAGGACCTTTGCTTTCTCCATATGGGTCAGCCTCAAAGAAAAGTGATAGTGGGAGCAGGCGACAGGCCAGAGCATCTGTGGCAGGAAGGCACTGACTACTGTGCTGGATGCACTGGTCCCTCCAGCATAGAGGACAGAGAGCAGGATGTACTGGGGTTCTCCAGTTTAGAGTCCAGATGACTTCCCTTGACCACCTCTCCTTAAGGAGGACCATTAAGGAGTCTTCTTGATAAAAAGTGGGCACATAATGTTAGAGCCAGAAAGCCCAGAAGACGCCGAAGCCCATGACATGCTAGGAGCTTGCCTAGCCCAGCCCTGTGCTTCCTGGTGGGAGATTCCATGCCTCAAACCCTCAAGACCTGGCATTCAGTTGTCATTCACACCTTCTGCACCTGGAATGAAAAGGGGTCCTTATAAAGTAAAAGGAAGGAGTGCCAATATTTTGTTGGAAATGGGGAGGAGAAGCAGCAGAAACAGTGAGGTTCCAGGTTCCAGCACACAAGAAAAGAGGGATCCTCTGGGGCTGGCCCCGTGGCCGACTGGTTAAGTTCATGCACTCTGCTGCGGCGGCCCAGTATTTCGTCGGTTCAAATCCTGGGCGTGGACATGGCACGGCTCATCAAGCCATGCTGAGGCAGCATCTCACATGCCACAACTAGAAGGACCCACAACTAAGAATATACAACTATGTACCGGGGGGCTTTGGGGAGAAAAAGGAAAAAAATAAAAAAAATTGTTAAAAAAAAAAAAAAAAAGAGGGCTGGCCCCGTGGCCGAGTGGTTAAGTTCGTGCACTCCGCAGCAGGCGGCCCAGTGTTTCGTTGGTTCGAATCCTGGGCGCGGACATGGCACTGCTCATCAGACCACACTGAGGCAGCGTCCCACATGCCACAACTAGAAGAACCCACAACGAAGAATACACAACTATGTACTGGGGGGCTTTGGGGAGAAAAAGGAAAAAATAAAATCTTTAAAAAAAAAGAAAGAAAAGAGGGACCCTCTAGGATATCAGCAAATGGATTTCACTCATTCAAACCTGCCTAAGGAGTCTAAACCCTTTTAAAAACAATAAAAGGATGCGGCTCTCGGCCCCGGGAAGGACTGAAAGACAAGCACTGGAGGATGTTTCTGCTTTTTGCTGAACAGGAGAGAATTTATAAAGACAAACAAGCATGAAGGAGGTGGAAGAAACAGTATGTAGCCCACGAACACAAACAGAAGAGAACAAAGGACAGAGAAACGCAATGAGGAGACAGGAGAAGAGACAGGATAAGAAGGCAGCTCCACAGACTAGCTGAGCAGCTGCTTTTGAAACTCTGAGGACCCCTTCCAAGGCATTCCATGGAGTCAGAGAAAAGGCCAGGGGTTCTGAATTCTATTTTTAAGAAACTACCAACAGGTCTCAGTTGCTCAAGAAACAAGTTTCTTTGCAATCCAAGGGTAGGCCTGGGTGAGCTGGTATGTTAAGCAGGAGAAAGAGCTAAGACCTGAGGTTCCTGAGGATCAGAGAGAGCTGAGGTAAGGAGGCCAAATATATTTTTCCTATTGGTCTGGGAAAGATAGACTCAAGGGAAAAAAGTGGTATCACTGCTCAAATTCTGCTGGGCAACGCAGGAGTGGCTTCTTCCTCTGGTCGTTTTTGGAGGCCATCTGACAATAATTCAGGCTGAAGACCCAGTTTTGTCATCTACTAGCTATGTACCTTGGGTCAATTTCAACTTTTCAAAGTCTCAGTTTCCATTTCACCAAATGGGTCAATAATGAATCCCTACCTCAGAGGGCTTTTATGAGAATCCAATGAGACAGTGTATGCAAGAACATTTTAAAGCTGTAAACACCAGCTGTAAGCCAAGGACATTTAAGGAGGGCAGTGCCATCCACGCTTCCTGTGTGGAGTTTAAGCTGGTGTTCCAGCTTTCTCACCTATCCCTTTTTGACTCTGAGTGGGCTTGGCCTTGTAACTTGCTTCGGCCAGTGAGACATTAGTAAATGACATAAACAAGCTTGTACCCCTAGCTTGCATGTGATAACAGCAGAAAGTACCAGTAGCTGGGGCACTGCTGCTGACCACCACTCTCACTCAAAGGTTCTCTGGTGAGACACTGAGTGGAATCTGTCTGCCATTAATTGAACTAAAAAATACCAGATAAAAATGCTAGCATTTCTTGCAGCTAGGGCCTGGGCATATGACCTAGGCTTGACCCATCAGATACAGCCACCTCAAACCTTGGGAACTAGTGATACAAAGAAGTGGGAACCAGAGAGAATCCACTTTGGGATTGCTGGGTGGCTGGAGCAGCACTGCAAGCTATGATCTCCAGTGTTGAGTGAGGATGGCAGCAGTGTCCTCACCAGAATCGTTTGGGTGTAAATCTTGTCTGCAGCCCATTTTCTAAGCTTGATTCTGCAGCCATTGTTGACCTGTGAACTACCTGGTATCTTTCCAATGAATTCCTTATCAGCTTAAATCAGCCGGAGTTAGTGTACGATGCTTATAACAAAGAATCTTACTGGTTAATTAGTGACATCTAGGAAAGGCCTTTTAGAAATGACAATTCTCACATGTAGAGGAAGAAAGTGCTTGAAATGTGAGAAGGCAGTGAGAAGGAGAGTTGCAGCTAGTCTCAAGCGGAGAAAACAGGGTGAAGGATGGTTTTAGGCCAAGGCCACATCACCCCCAGTTCATTTATCAGTGTTGCATGCAGTTCTTTTATCAGGGTAAGTTAAAAAAAAAAAGCAAGGAGAGATCTCATGATAATTGCAACCATCTCACAGACGCCTTTCTTGGAATCCTAACTTTCTGTCCTGAAATGTCCAAAAATATGCTTTATGGATCCAAAATTCATTCATTCAACACCCCCCGCCCCCAGCATTTACTATAAATCAGAACCTGTTCTGAGAGCTAGGGATGCACATTAGAATCAGTCAATCCTTGGCCTGAAGATCTCAGTCTAGGAGGTCAGACAGATTCATGGATAATTGCCATAACTTGTGAATATACTTTAATAAAGGTGTTGATAAAGTTCGGGGGTGCGGAGGGAGAAGGAACGCTCAGTTTGGCTGTGGGGAGAAGGTTCTACGGAAGATTCTACAGAGGGAAAACACTGAGCAGAGTCTTCAAGAGAGGAATCCAGAAAGAGAGAGGGCAGTGCAAAGGCATGGAGAGACACAACAGAATGGTGTGTACATGGAGCTCTAAGTCCATTAAGTAAGCTCCAGGAGTTGTATGTACTCACAACATTTAATTGTACTTAATTCTCACAACAGTCCTCCAAGAGGGGTATCATTGTCACAATTTTTCTAGTTTCGAAAATCTGAAGCCTAGATATTAACAATTTAATCTGGTGCACATCCAGTGAGTTGCACAGCCGAGATTTGAACCTAGGTCTGTTTGATTCTAAAGCTCAAAAGGGAGATGTGGGACTTTAAAAAAGGGAAGGAGAAAAAAACTGCCAAGGCCTCTGTTTACCGGGGAGAAAGAGAATGATGCGGCTTCTACCAATTCAGAATTGGTAGGGTTAATTCCTTCAGCAACTCCCCTGCCCCACTCTATTTTAGGTATAGGAATAATCTCAAAAGGAATTAGCCATTCTTACTGATCTTGAGCTTTGTCTACTTTTTGGTGAAAAATATCCAGCCAAGGACTGGCCCAGGGTAGCATAGTGGTTAAGTTAGTGCGTGCTGCTTCAGCTGCCCAGGATTCGTGGGTGCCGACCTACATACCACTCATCCAGCCGTACTGTGGCAGCATCCCACATACAAAACAGAGGAAGACTGGCACAGATGTAGCTCAGGGCCAATCTCCCTCACACACACACACACACACACACACACACACACAAATAAAATAAAAACCCAGCCAAATTATGGACCATTCAAATTTGCCAGCCCAGCAGGGAAACCCTGTCTTTCAAGTACTATGTAGTCTTTCTGCAGGCTACAGAGCAGAGTGTGCTAACAGCTCATAGCATCCCCGCTAAGTGGCTGAGAACAGCTCTGAGTGAATGGCTTCTGAAGACGGTGCTAACCTTCTTCCAGGCCAGGAATCTATGGGACCACCTCCCTTAAATATCAGGTCAGATGAGGTGCTCAAGGACTTCAGGAGGCCAGAGCTAGTTCCAGAGCCTTTGCTGGATTACTGGCCCTTCTCTCTCACGTCCAAGAGCCATCGTAAATTATTGGTGTCAATCTGGGGCCACTGGATCTTTTTAGTATGTTTTAAATTTTTTGATAGTAAGGCTGCATACATATATGAGTTTATCTGTAAAACAGATTCCTAAAATTGGAACTGTTAAGTCAAAGTAAAAAAATTTGAAAATGTCATCCCCCTCCAAAGAAAGGTTTATCAATTTATGTTCTCACCTGCAGCGTACGCATGTGCTTGTTCCCCAATCCTCACCAGCACTGGGCATTACCTGTGCTATTGTGATAGGTAAAAAATGGCATCCATGATTGTAATTTAGGTTCTGGTTTACCTTTGGCTTCAATCCTCTGGCCACTTCCAATTAGGCAGTACTTGATGTCTGCTCCCTTCTCGATCACAGCATTGTTGCAGATGACGCTGCCCTGGATGTTGCTTCTGCAACACAGTAGCCAAGTTAGGGAGTGTCCACCCTCTCATCACCATCCTCACCACTATGGGTTGGGGGCTCCTCCCTAGGCTAAGGACAGCTGGTCAGTCCAGTCAACGGTTACATGCCTCAAGCTATCAGTAGAAGACAGAATGGCTCAGTTGGGCCAAGGGAGGACCCAGCTTTAGAGAAATCCAGAGTTGGGATAAGCTTACAATTATCTTCCCCCAAAGCCTGGAAAGAGCAGACATTCTGACTTCAGTTCTTTAGGCACCCCAGACCTAGAGGGCTAAATTCCATCCAATCTCTTCTCCTTTGGTCTGGGGGTGGAAACTGATGCTGGTACCCATCACTCCTGCCTCTCATCTGGGAATATATACCACATCCCATTTGAGGCTCAGATCCCATGAATCTCTGTAAGAGATCAGCTATGGAAACAATGGGTGCCACAGACTCTGGTTAATCAGAACCATACTCATTTAGGAAAAAAAGGATGTTTTTAAAACCAGTTCCATGCCACATATAAGACTACTCCAGACCCTAAAGCCACACTCTCAAGAGTAGCACTGCTGGCTTTTAGCATTTGAATGTGTTTAAGGAACATCCTCCTGGCTCCTGAAGACAGGTGGGTGGGAAGAAAAGGTCCTTTTGAAAAACTTCACTAGCATTTATTGCATACCTATTCTATGCCAGGTACTGTCCTATACTCTATGTAAATTACAGGAGTGACTTACAAATCTAGCCATTTCATCAGGAAAATCACCTGGGCAATATAAAAAATAACAAACAAAAACACACTCAATGTCCTAGATGATTCTGGGAGTGTCATTTTTATCTCTGATACAGTAAAAATGACAACCACATTTTGCAGACGAGGTAACAGATTTAGAGAAGTCTAACCATTTACCCCAAACCACCTAACTACCAAGTAGCAGATTCAAATCTAGGTTTATCTGTCTCCAGAATCCATACATTTAATCATAATGCCATACAAAGAAATGAAGGGGAAAAAGGACCGGAGAAAGCTAGAACTGCTGAGCTACTTTTCTGAGCTGAGATGGCTCTGTGGAAGGAGCTCTGTCCTAACAAGGGAATATTTAGAGCTCTGAAGAGTCAGAAGTGGGCAGCTGGAGGGGGAAAGGAGGCAAGTAGGAAGTGTGTGAGCATCTATTTAAACAAAACAAAACAAAAGACTAAGGAAGAATCCTCAAGCAACCTAGGAGGTATGGGAGATGGGCAAGAGGACATTCCAAGGACTAAAACTATCGATGCACGGGCCATTAAAAAAGATTCTCCCCAAATAACAAAACTTTAGTGAAATGCAAAAGAGGAATTCTAGCACTTTATGACATTCCAGCATCTCCTTTATCTCTATTCTTCTAGAACGTTACAGCCTGTCAGACGGCAGTAAAAGGCCAAAGCCACAGCACCTCTCTGGTGCTGGCTAGAGATGGGCAGACAGTATTAGTTTGTTTTTTGGCTCAAACTCCTGATTCACTCAGTGGGTGGGCATTAAGGGACCTTCCAGAACTTTCTACCTTGCCCTCTGCCTTAGGCAAAGCAGTCCAGTCAGCAGTTAGGGTGGTTGCTGCGCGCTGGGAAAAATTCCCCCAACAAGAGTAATAAGGAAGTATTGAAAGCCTCAGATACAGAGGCTCTTGGGACAGAGGTGGCTTACAACTGGCTACTAGTTTGCCCCTGAAAAGTCTCATTTCTTTTTCCAAGGTGGGAGTAGGGGCAGCTTCCTGCTCAGTAGTTTAAAAGCCTGAGAATGCATGCTCTGGAGCTAGGCAAGGGGTAAACACAGTCAGCTGAGAAGAAACAGCCAACAGGAACTCAAACAGTCATAATTAGAGACTACTAAATGGCTATTTTGGAATCTGGGATATAAATGAGAACCGTTTCTGGAAGGAAGAAGCTGGAACGATTGAGGTCACATTTCCACAGCAATGGATAGCCTGGGTTCTCCTTATGTTTAGTAGGTCTGACAGGTCTTCGGGAACCTCTCATATTGCTTGTCTCGCCTAGTCTGAGTATAACTCCCTCTGAGACACGCTGTAGAGCCTGCAGATGTGTTAGGGAAAAAGTAGGTTGAATGATGGGAAGCTGGAGGCTCTCCTGAGGCCCCTGGTCAGCTGATCTGTGGAAGGCTTTGAGACGAACAGCTGACAAAATGCTGAGTGACTGTGAACCTCTTTTCTACCACTAGTTTCTTCAATTCTTCCCCAGTGTCACTGCTGTACTCACAAGTCACCTCCATTAGCAAGGCCGAGGCACTCTGGAAAAATTTCAAGCCAATATAACCTTCCCTCCATGAGAAAGAAACTCCAAGATTAAGGATTTTACTGGAAGTGTGTGTGTTTGCTCATGTAGAGGGAAGGACAGACACTACTACATCAAACAAGCCTTCTCAAGGTTGCCAATCCACAGTAAGGACTCTATGTTTTCTGCTCAGTGCCTAGGGTGGGAGGGGAGTGACTTCCACATAGCTCAAGAAAAGAAGTGGCCCCAGTCCCGGAACTAGTTTTTGCATCCTAGTCTTAACTCTCAGTTTGGTATTAAGCATTGTGTGTTAATGCCAGGCTGTGTTCTCTAAGAAGCTGCTCAGAGATGACTAAGATTAATGGGGTCTTTGCTCCTCATTTCTCCTTGGTAGGATCAAATTGTAAGCAAAGGTACAGGCCTTGGGAAATTACCCTGAAAACCCTGACGCTTCAGTGGAGAGGAGGCCAGGAGAAAAACACAAAGGTTTCCAGTAAGATCACTGCTTGGTTAGGCACACCACGCTATACCATGTCGTGGCATACCGATGAAGCAGCCCGGACCTGGGAAGCAAGAGTGCCTCCAATTCTCACTCCTCTTCTGGCTTTACTTAGGACTTTTTTCAGTTTATTCCAGGAGGAAAGGGAACTCACATAAATCTAAAGTCTAATACATCTCAGTCATTGCACACAGCACTTTACATTCATTGTATAACTTAATCCTTTTAGTAAACCTGCAGGGATGGTGGCATTTATTCTAATTTTTACAGAGAAAACTGAGGCTCACAGAGGTTAAGCAATGTGCCCAAGCCTACACGGTGGTAAGTGTCTCTCTTTTGTGTCATGGGCTTCTGTCTCAGCTGTTGACTGGGCAGTTTTTGGCAAAGAGCCATGAAACTTCTCAGTAACTCTGAGAACAGGCAGGTTCTTCTCTGGGAATTAGTTGGCAGGCTTTCTAAACTTACTCATAAGTTTATGGGAAGAGAAAAGTATGGAACTGGAGATACATGTAGCTTTTCTAGGCATGTGACTACAGTCTCTTTTGGGCCAACTGACTACTTCAGTCCAAAGATTATGGCTGAGTCACCTACACCTCTCCAGGTGCCAGAGCCTCCTAACTTTAGCCCAAGGGGTGTTGGTCCAGGTGCCCCTCTGGACCACATATTATTTTTAATGAAATATTTCAGGCATGGGAAAAAGTATAGAGAATATAACGAACACCTCTGTGCCCACTGAACAGTTCAAGAAACAAACAATACAACCTGCTGTGCACCTCTCTTTGATCACACTTCCCTCCTTCTCCCACCGGAGGTAACCACTGTTTGACTCTGCTGTTTATTGTCTTAAGCATTTTTACTACATATATTAGTAGGCAATATATAGTATTGTTTTGCATGTTGTAAAATTTTATAGAAATGCCATCATTCTCTATGTATCCTTCTGCTTTTTTCCCCATCTACGTCATATTTGTGAGATTTATCCAGGTTAATTCACATAATGAGATATAATACTTAAATATCTCACTGTCTTCCCATCTCTGGCCACTCTTGCTCTTGGGTCTTCTAGACTAAAATGTACTGGTTCCAGTGAGCAGGCTGAAAATTTCCTCCTTTAGTTCTATGTGCCTCCCTTCACTATATAAAGGTTTAGTGGTGAGAAATATCTCCCTCCTAAGAAGGGTTTGGGAGGATCAAAGTAAAGATGTACCAAACTTAAAAGAATTAAGGGGTAGTATTCTCCACCCAAGAAGATGGGTTTAGTGCAAACGGTTCAAAGGCAGGGAGTGAACCCAAAGTCCTAAGGAGCCCCTTAAGTCAAGGGGATTTTCCCAAGGTTTCATAATTTGGTGTTTTCAAGAGTGTGACTGAAGAAACACAGAATTCTTTTAACAATTATTCTCTTTTTTGCAACTGTAATTACCAGACAGTTTTATGTTTAAAGGAGTTCACGTTTATACTCAACCTACTCATTTGTCAATATTTTGTTTCATTTCCTACTTGGCTATGTCCTGAACAGGAGTTTTCCAGAGGGTTCATGGGTGACACATCTCTTGAGCCCTGGAGTATTTCTGATGATTTTATAGTTCAACTATAACTTGACTAGGTATAGAATTTTTAGATCACAATAGTTTTCCCTCCAAATTTTCTAAATGTTGTTTCAATGTCTTCTGGGCTGAAATGTTCTCATGGAAAAGTCTGAGCCAGCCTGATTCTCTCCCTTCTATGTGCCTTGATGGTTTTTTTTCTTTCAGTTCTATGTGCCTTGAGATTTTGCAAAAGGGGTGTTTGCCATTTCTCCTTTGGTTCACCCATGCCCCTATTCCTCATGCTCGTTGAATTTTGGTGTTCTCTTTGAGTTTGATGTAAATTTCACCATGTCTGGCAGAAATTCTTTAGTCTGTGTATGGGTACATGGCAGTTATCTAGTTTTATTATAGATGAAGCTTCCTTTTCTGGTTTTGCTTGCTTGTTTGTTTTCATTTTGGTGAGTTTCAAGGAGCAAAGTATTTACTCCACGATTTTTTCTAGAATTAGACAGCGCTGTCTTGACAGATACTCAGTCAATTATAGTAGAGGGGGTTAAATCAAGGATCTTTATTTTTCACTCAGTAAATACTTACAAGGTATCTAGTATATAAAAAATACAGTATTAGGGTTTAAGGGGTACAAAGACATATAAAAACTATTTCATATTCAAGGAATTTACAGTCTAGTTGAGGAAAAAAGAAAGATGCAGTGAGTACCACACGAACATAAGCAAAGCGCTACGGGTGCACAGGGAACACAGAGGTGTGGGAAATAATTTCTGGCTGGAACAATTCAAGAAGGCTGCGTGGAAGAGCCAGCATACGTATTGGACCTTGAAAGATGGGTAAGATTTCTAGAGGTAAAGATCTCTAGAGGGAGGCAGTTTAGGCAGAGTGGATGTCAGGAATAAAGGGGAGTAGAAAAGCAAAGGCCCAGTGGGCAGGGCAGTCAGCTGAGTGCAGGCGAAGAGGACATTCAGGTAACAATGACGAATACTAATATCTTGTTTGGCTCTGAGAGCTGCACTTGCTGCCTGCAGAAAGCAAAGAAAATCTAGGTGAAAACCTGGTTCTCGAGCCAGCCTGCATGTGAAGCTGCTACCCTAGACTGCTGCTTGGGTCATTCTCCTTGGACTAGGAGGAAACGCAAGAGATGTTGCTCAGGGCCAGAGAGCCAAAGATGCTGAACACAAGACTGACACTGAAGCCTTGACAATGAAGTTTTCACTAGGCTTTGGATTGCTGAACATCAGCTGTCATATAAATTGGAAGTGACAGAAAATGAGAAAGACAGGCAGGAGACTTCTCTGCATAGTCTCGCCTACACCTTCCCCAAGGTGGTCCTATTAGATCCCTCAAGCCCTGAGGACCTTAGGCAGGTGTCCAAGCCACTGTCCAGAAAGCCTCAGCATCAGCAACACCACTGCTGCCAAAGACAAGAAAACTAAGAATATGAGAAATTCCCTTCTGGACGAATTCATGCTCCTACTCTGGCGTTCAGTCCAGATGTAAAGAGCAGCAGGGTAATCAAGTCTCACAAGACCGCAACTTAATTACCTTTCCCAAATTTACCATAAGTAATTAAAACTAAATGACCTGAAAATAATGGGAAAAAGTTCATATGGGATGCAGGATGTCTGATCTTACTGCCAGGAGCTAATTTGCAGGGTTGGGTAATCTCTAATGGCCTTCCTAGTCATCAGGCCCATGTGAGTTGCTTACAACTTCACTCAACATTTTCAGTTGGAAAAACAGCAGCTGCCACCATCTAAACTTTTACTGTTATCCCAGCTAGAAACCTTAATAGGCCATCCAAGATTATACCTTCTCCAAAACAGCAAGTGACTCTGGGATATTACGCCAGGCTTTTTCTAAGAACTTCTTCTCTCATATAAGCAAGTTGGAGTTTCTTAGGCTTCCTCACCAAGTCTCTTCACGCCAATTCAGGACACTAACACTGGACTTTAAAGAGGTGCTAGAGGGGCCGGCCCCGTGGCTGAGTGGTTAAGTTCGCGCACTCCGCTTTGGAGGCCCAGGGTTTCGCTGGTTCGAATCCTGGGCGTGGACATAGCACCGCCCATCAAGCCATGCTGAGGCAGCATCCCACATGCAACAACTAGAAGGACCCACAACTAAAAGTACACAACTATGAACTGGGGGCTTTGGGGAGAAAAAAGAAAAATAAAATCTCTAAAAAAAAAAAAAAAAAAAAAGAGGTGCTACAGAGCTGCTCCCTTGTCTGCCCATCCATTGCAGCAAGGAAGAGGTTACTAATTAGAGCAAATGGGAAAGTGATGGCAGAAGGTCTGAGGCAAGATGAGACAGAGTGAAATTACAAAGCCTCATGAGCTACTCTGGAAACAGGAGATCAAATGGATAGTGTAGTTCTGGTTTTCAAGAGAATGGTGAGGGACTGGCCCCGTGGCCAAGTGGTTAAGTTTGCCCGCTCTGCTTCGGTGGCCCAGGTTTTCACTGGTTTGGATCCTGGGCACAGACACAGCACCACTCATCAGGCCATGCTGAGGTGGTGTCCCGCATGCCACAGCTAGAAGGACCCACAACTAAAAAAATATACACAACTGTGTACTGTGGGGATTTCAGGAGAGAGAGCAGGAAAAGAAAAAAAAAAGGATTGGCAACAGTTGTTACCTCAGGTGACAATCTTCAAAAAAAAAAAAAAGAATGGTGACATCTGTCAGTCTCACACAGGAATCTGGAATGGCACATGTAGTAGCAAGGGTGCAATGAGAAAAAAGTCTGGAAGGTCACAATTTATTCATCTGTAAAAATGCAAGAGTTGGGCGTTGAGCTGGATGACTTTTAAGGTCTCATCTCACTCTAACATTCCAGGACTCAGTGTTGGAGCAGCATCATGAGACACCTTGAAGTTCAAGCTTTACTCTAAGGGTAATGGAGAGCCTTCAAAAGTTTTTGAATAGAACAAGAGTATGATCAGAGATATCTGTTAGGAAGACAATGCTGGTAATATGCCACCTGTGTGAAATGAGATAAAGATATGATGACGATGATAATAAAATAACAGCTAACATTCTATGTGCCAAGCACTGTCCTAAGTGCTTTATGTCTCTTAAATCATGTAGTACTCCCAATAAACCTATGAGGTAGTTCAGTTTTTACTCCTTTTTTTGGTGAGGAAGACTGGCCCTGAGCTAACATCTGTGCCAATCCTCCTCCACTTTATATGTGGGTTGCTGCCACAGCATGGCTGTCGAGTGGTATAGGTCCACACCGAGGATCTGAACCTGCGAACCTGGGCTGCTGAAGCAGAGCGCACCAAACTTAACCACTATGCTATGGGGCTGGCCCCAGTCACCATGTTTTGTAGTTTTTATCACCTGATTATTTCTCCTCTTCATCTCTACTGTTATTGCCCCAGTTTAGGACCCCTTCTATTTTACCAGGATTATTTCAGTAGTCTTCCTGCCTTCATGTTTATTACCCTCTTCAGATCATCCTCCACACTGTAGCCAAATTGATCTTCAGAAAATGCAAATTTAATCATGTTATTCTTTTGCTTTAAACTCTTAAATTACCATTACCTATTAAACTCGTTAGGGGATAGGCCACAATCTGGCCCTTGTCCATCTACACAGCCTTATTTCCTGTCACATCCATTCCTCTTTGAATTCTATACTGCAGTCATTATAAATTGTATACTGTTTTTTTCACATAACGAATATTTATTGAGTTCCTGTAGGCCCTCAGGATGTAACAGTGAAACAGAAAGATAAGAGATAAGGTACTTACATTCTTTTTTTTTTTTGAGGAAGATTAGTCCTGCGCTAACTACTGCCAATCTCCCTCTTTTTGCTGAGGAAGACTGGCCTTGAGCTAACATCCATGCCCATCTTCCTCTACTTTATACGTGGGACGCCTACCACAGCATGGCATGCCAAGTGGTGCCATGTCCGCACCTGGGATCCGAATGGGCGAACCCCGGGCCGCCTAAGCGGAACGTGCGAACTTAACTGATGCACCACCGGCCGGCACCAAGGTACTTACAGTCTCAAACTAACATTTTACTTGTAAAAGAGAAGTAAACAAGATAAGGCCAGATAGTGATAAGGCTACAAAGGAAATTAAAACAGGTTGATGTAATGGAGAGTATCGGGACAGACTACTTCTGGCAGGGCAGTCAGCGCAGCCTCTTCTTAAGTGGTGAAATCTGGGCTAAGATCAAAACGAGGAGTTGTTTCTGGAATAAAACATGCTCTCTCACACTTCATACTCTTGATGTATCTAGAACATTCCTTTCTCCAGCCCAGCTGGCCCTACTCATTTTTCAAGATCCAGCTCAAGATTCATTTCCTCAATTAAGTCTTTCCTGACCCTGTCCTCCTTTGTGACCATACAGATTTCTACTGCAGTACCTGTAACTCTTACTGCAGATAGCTTATGAGTTCCTTGAGGGAAGAGACTGAGCCTTGTGCAGTTTTATGTCTTCAGTCGCTGAGCACAGTCTTCAGCAAAGAGTGGGTCCTTAAGTGTTTGATGAATGAGTGAAATACTTGAGACAGGCCTCTATCATCAGTGTGTGCTGGAGCCAACTTGTTCGTAAAAGAGCCAATTGTTAGCGTCTCTTCCCAACTCACTGTTTGCTGGTATCATCGGCCATAGTGGGAGAATTTACACCACAGAAATTGGCAAACGTTATAAATCAGGGCATTTATTTCTTCCTTTGGAGGGCTGCTTGTTAACAACCCTGGTAGCAGTGTACCACAAGATTCTGGCTTTTTTGGGGGGGTAACTAAAGTTATACACGCATGGAGGCCAGCCTGGTGGTATAGTTGTTAAGTTTGCATGCTCCGCTTGCTGGGGGTTTGTGGGTTTGGATCCCTGGTGCAGACCTACATACTACTTGTCAAGCCATGCTGTGGCAGCATCCCACACACAAAATAGAGGAAGACTGGCACAGATGTTAGCTCAGGGACAATCTTCCTCACACACACAAAAAGTTACTATATGCACGTAGTTTAAAGTAAATCATTCTGCAGGTTTTATTATGAAAAACAGTAGTCCTCTGTTCCCGCTACTCATTTCCCTCTTCACAGAGATAACTCTGACTTCTTTTTGCTGAGTATTTCAGTATTTACTTCCATATCTCTAGATAATAACATTACTACTTCTTGATTTTTCAGTTTTGGGCATCATCAACAGACTTCCCATAATGGAAGATGAGAATTTAGCTCTCCTTTCTTTCCCTGCTTCCTCTTTCTCCTTTTTTTTTTTTTTTGAGGACGATTAGCCCTGAGCTAACATCTGCTGCTAATCCTCCTCTTTTTGCTGAGGAAGACTGGCCCTGAGCTAACATCTGTGCCCATCTTCCTCCACTTTATATGTGGGACGCCTACCACAGCATGGCTTTTGCCAAGCGGTGCCTTGTCCACATCCAGGATCCGAACTGGCAAACCCTGGGCCGCCAAAGCAGAACATGCGAACTTAACTGCTGCGCCACAGGGCTGGCCCCCTCTTTCCCTTCCTATCCCACATCCTTTCAATACAGTTACAGCATACTTTTGGTCAATAGTCCGTGTTTAAATAAATTCTATTTCATAGTTGAGCCACACAGCAAACTACGATGACTTTTCCTTTCTTGTACAACTTTTTTCACAGCGTTAAAAACTGTTTTTCTTCTTCTTCTTCTCCTCCCCAATGCCCCCCTAGTACATAGTTGTATATTCTACTTGCAAGTCCTTCTGGTTGTGCTATGTGGGATGCTGCCTCAGCATGGCCTGATGAGTGGTGATAGGTCTGCGCCTAGGATCCAAACCGGCAAAACCCTGGGCCGCCGAAGCAGAGGATGCGAACTTAACCACTCTGCCATCGGGCCCCAATAACTGTTTTGTTTTTGTTAGTGTTCTCTGTTATTACCAATTCAACCCCAACTTTTAGCCAAATGTCTAAATCTTTCAAGATGTTTATATGTATCTGGTACTTTATCAGTGTGATCTTCCTGAAGTCTTTCCTGGATTGCACTCTGGGCTAACTCCTCCCTTAATGCTTCATGCATAGCTGTCATCCTTGGATCTGCTGTCACTATCATCCTATGGACTCTTTTTGTCTCTTTCTGAGTTGGATCTCTTATTTCTTATCCACCTCTTTTTGGTTTACTCTTCATTTTGATGGAACACATCTTCTAGAGAAGTTTTTGAGACTTTTCATGACTGAAAATGTCTATCCTATTGTCACACTTGATTAACACTTTGCTTCAGTATAGAATTCTAGGTTGAAATTAATTTTCCTTCAGAATTTTTAAAGCATTGTTCTATTATCTTCTAGTTTCTATTGTTGCTATTGATAAGTCCAAAGCCATTCTGGTTCCTGATTAGTTGTATATGACCTATTATTTTTTCTTTTTAAGTTTGTAGCATGCTTTGTCTCCAGTGTTCTGAAATTTCCAAAAGACGTGGGTTTATTTTTACCCATTGTGCTGGGCACTTAGTAGGCCCTTTCATTCTGTAAATTCATTATCTTTCAGTTCTGGAACATTTTCTTATATTACTTCTTAAATAATTTCCTCCTCTGATTTCTCAACTGTCTTTTTATGGAACTCCTATTCAGATGTTGGACATTTCAGACTGGTCCTCTCATTTTCTTATCTTTTCTATGTTCCATCTCTTCATCTTTTTGCTCTACTTCCTGGGAAACTTCAAATTTATCTCGCAATTCTTCTATTGAGGTTTTCCTTTTTGTTACCATATTTTTAATTTTGAGTTCTTTTTTTGTTTTTTGAAATGACAGTTGTTTGAAACTATTTTTCTCCCCCTGCAAAGTCTCTGTTTCTTCTAAGCTGTGTTTTCCTATTTGTTTGATTTGGCCTCTATCTTTCATGATAGAGGCCTTCTTTAGATTCCTGGTAATCTTTGATTCTCTGTTCATATTTAGGAGAGGATTCTAAAAAAGCCGATTAGAAGTTCTAAGCACATGAATGGAATTTGTCATCCATAATTTTCACTACAGGGTGATTTGACAGGGCTGTTAGAAATCCCTGATGTAAATAAATGTAGGTTTTTCTTCTTGGACTGTCAGATGCTCTAGAGAAAATCCTTCCAAACTCCTAACTGAAGGCTTTAGGCCTGGTTACCAGGGTTCTGGGAATCAAGTCAGGAAGTGGGCATGGGGAAGGACAGATCTTAGTGGCCCAAATTCCTGTGGTCCCCAACTTTCCTGGTTTTTATTATTGGTACCTCCTGCCTCAATCCTGTCTATTGCCTTCCATCAGTCACTCTTCCTAAAGAGCAAAAGCTTAACCTTTAGCTCTATCCCTATGCAGTTCCTCTCCCTAAAATGCTTCCCCTAACTCTTTACTGGCAGCTGTGAGAGGGTGTTCAGCTTTCCTTGGCCTTGCAGTCTTTCCCTCTCCTTGTCTCCTATCATTTCTTGGACAGAGAAATCAACAGGTGTCAGAGCTAGAATCACTCTCAGGCTGATCCAACCTAATGGTTTTCAAAATCTGTTTTATAGACCTGCTTCACATCCTGGAGCAAGGACAGATGCCCCCTCCCCACTATATTCCAAACAACTCGCTTTTATCAGTTTTAAATATTGAGTTTCTGCATAAGATTTATCTTAAGAAAAAGTTCCCCTTCTAAAAAGTCTGAAACCCACTGATTTGGTAATATCCTTTCTCTCTGCCACCACCTACACACTTGCATTTTATATATGGAAAAATCTGAGGTCCATACAGGGGAAGAATCTTACTGAACATCATTCAAGCCTTCTTACTCCAAGATCAGGCTCTTCCTAAACCAAGATTTAGGACACTCTAAAGTGTCTCAAAATGGGAAGACTCTGTATAACTTGTAACAGAGATGCTCTCTCTCAAAAACAGTGCATGGCTTATATGTCCACTCCTGCTAGGCCTCTGATTTTTTCAGGGCTTCTCTGGGATACCGAGATAGGGGAAGGCGAACCTTAGACATTGGCACAGTGTCATTCCAGCACTGCCAGTGGCTCACTGCTGTGGCCATTCTATCAAGTAGGATATCAAAGGAAGAAAAGGCAGCTTCTCCCAGGACCACATTTGTCCTAAGTGAGAAAGCCACTGGAAATGCTTTCAGAGACCATGTCACTATGGAGCAACAACCAAGGCCTCAAAGGGCCTAGGCACTATTCCTTCCTTCATCCTTTTCCCTTTCCTCCCCTCCCCAAGCTGAACCCTTTCCTAGGTTAGACTGGCCCCAAAAGACTCCTAGGTGTACCAGGGGACTTTCCTCAAGTACGCACAAGAGAAAACATACCCTTCTTCCACGGTGACTGTGTTCATGAGAAGGCAATTGGTGATAGTCACTCTATCTCTTATGACACAGGATGAACCAATGACTGAGTGCTTAATGGACGACTTCTCTCCAACCTGTGTATCTGACCCGATGAGGCTGTCAACTCCAACCTGCAAAAGGCAAATAAAACCTTGTCCATCCATCTCAACCACTTGCAAACCAACTCCCCAAATCCCTTGAGCTGGGGACTAATGGAATCTCTCCCTAGAGACAATTCAGAAAGAGGGACCATAATCAGTATTTCTCAGGGCCACAAGGTCACAGAATGCCTCTGAGACCAACTCAAACTTACACACTCATGCATTTGTGTGTACAGAAGTGTTCTCTCGAAGACAGTGCCCAAATCAGGGTAAGAAGAGGGACAGAGATGGAACACTCCTGTGTCTGAGTCCCAAGACTTTAATGGACCTTCCTTACAGAGTTCATGTGGCTGGGGTCAGCATCTGTCCAGGCAGTCTTTTTGAGTCTAGCCTGGGCTACAAGGTGAGATTTTATAACCAGAACCCAGTTGGGATTTCCCTGGGGCTAATGAAGTTCAGGATTTAAGAGCCAATTCAGCTTCTCAAGGACAAGCCTCAATGTACCCAGTGTCCAATGTCTGCCCTGCCCATGCTAGCACTTACCAGGTGTTTGCTGACAATCTGGGCTGATGAATGGATCAGTGATTCTTCTGGACAAAGAATAGGTAGCAATTTGGGCACCTTGAGGAAAGAAGTTTGGTTACTAAAGTAAGACCAGAAAACACCTGAAAGCACCTTGGGGAGAACCCAGTGCCCAGTCAGAGATGGGGGCAGTTTTCAGTTACAGCTTCCTGTCTGGGTGAGGCAGAGCAGAGGCTGCTGCATTTCCCTTAGGACAAGGACTGTTTATGCAGCAGCTTCTATATGGTCTTATCCTCAGTTTCCTAAGCTGACAGTCTCCTCCATGAAAGTAATGCCACGTCTCTCAGCTGGGAGGCAGCACTTGGGAGAGGAGGCCTAATGAGGGCAAGGAGCATCATGAGTCCTGACCATAGTCATCCTAGTTTCCTGCTCACCTCCTGGACCACTGTGGCCATGCATGAGGTGAGGATGGGAGCAATGTTAGACAAATTCCACAATCAGGACAGACTCTGAGAAGACTTCTATGTTCTTCACCAGCCAAAAAAGAAAGTGAAAGGGGAAGTTCACACTATTCTCTCTCCAGTATGATAAGACTGAAAAGGTTACGAGTATGGAGTAGTTTTAGCTCCATACTCATCAGGAGGGCACAGACAGCGTGCCTATCTGTGATTCTCCGGCATGGGCAGAATGCTGGTCAAAGCACTGTGTGTGGTGGCCACACCAGCTGAGGGAGGCCTTGCCAAGACTGGCTACACTGGCAATAAGAAGGCTAATCCCTCAGCCTCTATCCCTGAGATCTCCTCTATTACACTCCAACCAAGGTCCTTCAGGCCTGTCTGCTATACAGCCCTTGCTGGCACTTCAGATACTTCTCTAGTCTCTGGCTATTCATGGACCTGCTTTCAGACTAGTCTGAGATACTCTAGTCTAGACTTGAAGAAAGAGAAATAAAAGTCAAATTAAGGAAGCTTTCTAATAGCTCTGACCCTAGGGTGGAGCTAACTTTACCCAGGACTGCCCTTGGTAAACGTGGGACTGGTTGTGACTCCTCATAAACTCTCCGGCTGGCATTCCTTTGGATCTATAACCAATCCAGGTTGGGGCCAGCTTGAGAACTGGGATTGGGGCTATACCCACTATATGGTGTGGGTTCTGAAGACTCTTGAGTCAGATTTTCTTCAGGGACTCAATCCCAATCCCAATTTTCAACAATCTTTTATCACTCTACTTACCCCTCCCTCACCCAAACATGCACCTGCAATGACAGTTTTCACAGAGTTCTACCAGGAACCATGCCAACAGCTAATCTTTTCATCACCTCATCTCCATTGTCCTTGACTGTCACCCCAATGTAGTTCCCTCACTGTCTATCTTTTCCTATTCTCATCTCAACCCTTTGCTGGTCTGTGTTTCCTTTTCACGATCTCATCATCCTTCCCCCTAAAACCTTCATCCTGTGCCTGCTACACTCTCAGCCCCTTCACTGTCCCCCTCTGCACCCCTTGCCTTAATTAAAACATGGCTGATCTTTTAGGGTACTGCTATCCTTCAATAGAGAAGCTACTCATTCTCTATACTTCACAAACCTCAGGGTTAAAAGGAGGAGTTAGCAAGATTCCTCACTCTCTGATGCTGTTTCCAGATACTTCTCTCTCAGACATTCCTTCCTTGAGGCTTTGCCATCTGGCTATTCTACACTCTGTTCCTTTACCTTCTTAGGAAAGCCTACTCTGTGTGCCTATGTTTACCATACCACATTAATGATTACACAGTACTTATCTGCTTGTTTATGAAGCACTGTACATATCCCTAGGCTGAGCAGAATAGGAGAAAGCTGCTGAACCTACAGGCCAGAAGTTAGCCTTCCTGGAGATCTTAGTCTTTCCCTGGAGCCACAGAGGCTCTGCCTCTATGGACCAGGCCCGCTGCTTCCCTTTTTGCTGTACTTGCATACCCCAATGGTTCCCTTGACATGCCAGGTCTTGCTCAACCTTGGGAATGAGAGGGATTCTGAACAAGTCACTGTGTACCTAATGAAGAAATAAGACAAAAGGCTCCATCTGTTTCTGAGGCAGGGACTCCCAAGATTTCTCCTCTAAACCCATCCTCTCACCTGTCTATTTGCTTCCATGTAGAGTCCCAGGGTGCTCACTCGAGAGCAGAGCCCCTCTTTCATGATATGGACATAGCAGCGCACCTGTGATCTAGACAAGTCTTCCCGTCTGTCTTCTTGACAGGCATTCCAGCAGACATCATAGGGAGCAAAGGTCAGTGTATTGGCTTCTTTTATAAAACTGTAAATATCTTCAGAACAGAAACCCAATCCGAGCAAGCGAATGAGAGAGAGATGACAGGGGGTACATACTCAGTCAAGTTTTGAAAGAGGGTACAGCTCACACCTCTTGCTCTGAACTCACCCGTGCAACATGGACCCTGGGTAAATCCCACTAAAACCTGAAAGACTAAGTCAAATTAAAAGAGACAATGTGCTTTCCTGTATGTTTGAAATATTGTATAATACAAAAATGTTTAAAAAGAGGTCCTACAAGCAAGTTTGACTAAAAATCAAGTACAACAAGGGAATACAAGCAAGTGTCCAGACTTTAGTGGCCAGCCATGTTGGCTTTGTCCTGCTAGCCCCTATTACCATATCTGGCGGTTGTGCTATGACAGAAATAGCCCAGGACTTGGCTCCAGAGTACCTGGGTCTAGTTTCTGAAATCTCGCAATAATCATTTGGGATTTTTTATTTTATGACAAGAAAACTGGGGCTCAGAAGACTGAGTAACCTGCCCCAGGTCACAGAGCTAACAGGAGGCAGAGGCAGATTTCAAACCCAGGTCTGTCTGATGTCAAGTCCTGCAATCTTAATCATCACGCTATTCTGTCTCCGTTTATTTCATTTGATAAATATTTTTGGAACATCTAGTATGAGCTCAGGACTGGGTCAGGCACTAGGCAGGGATATGAGAGCAAACAAGACAGCCCTCACCCCTACATCCTGGAAAGGAGACAGTCTGGTTGGCCTCTGGTTGGACTGCAATTGTCTACTCTTTCATATTTCTTCCCTTGACACAAGAGGCTGAGTTTAGTCAGGAGAGGAGTTGCCCAGAGCCTAGAGGACAAGGTGAGCACCAACTGAGAAATGGTGGGCAGAGTTTAAAGTAAAATGGTCTAGTGCAGAACATAGCTAAACCAGAGGTGTGAACCAGAGAATGGACCTGAAGCACGATTAGCCTATCCCTGAAGAGCATGGTGACAGAATCTGCTTGAGTAAGCTTACCCAGAGCTCAGGGAGTGGCATCAGCTAGCCTATCCTGCCTGGTGGCTAGACAAGAGTCTACTGCCTTGAGACAAGTATGTTGGGCTGGACTAAGCAGCCCAGCCACTCTCTTCAAAGGTGCTGCTACCCCTACCCTTCTTACTGCACCAACCCAAGCACAGACCTAAGGACTTCAGCTCCTTTTTCTTTAGATCTTCCTCTTTTTCTTCTTGTCCTTGTTGTGAGGAAGCTGAGGAGAACTGCTTTCTTACTAGGTATGGAATCAGTTCACTCCGGATGGAAGTGATTGACCTAGGAAGAAAGAGTGGTCAAATATGAGAAATCTAACTAACTGGATCCTACTGGGATTGACAATTCTGTGCAGGCAATGAAAAGCCAAATTCCTTCTAGTCATGCCACCTTGGGACTGAAAGAGATCAAAAGTGGAATGCAGGCGCTGGCCCCGTGGGTGAGTTGTTAGGATCGTGCGCTCTGCTTCAGCAGTCCAGGGTTTTGCCAGTTTGGTTCCTGGGCGTGGACATGGCACTGCTCACCAGGCCATGCTGAGGCAGCGTCTCATATAGCACAGCCAGAGGCACTCACAACTAGAGTATACAACTATGTACGGGGGGGCTTTGGGGAGAAGAAGAAGAAGAAAAATAAAAAATTAAACCAAACAAAAGACTGGCACTAGATGTTAGCTCAGGTGCTAATCTTAAAAAAAAAAACAAGTGGAATGGACTTGGCAGTTCTGGAGAAGCAGAGGATCTAAGTCTTCTATTAGCCTCAGGCTGGAGGGGGAGGGTAGTGTACTGAATCTGAGAATCTCTTCCCCTGGTTTACGTAGAAAATAGTCTTTCACAAAGTCCCTCTACATGGTGTACATGTGCACGTTTTGTTTGGGGTGTGTGTGTGCGTGTGTGTGTGTGTGTGTGTGTATTTTAACATGGTGCCTTGACTCCTAACTGGCAATAACCCACGGGAATGCAGAATGCTCTGGTCTTTTGAAAAAAGTTGTTTCAAAAACTTAAGTTTTCTCCATAAAGGCCTTGCATATCTTCTGTTAGATTAATCCTAAGAATCCTATTTTTTGTTGGAATTATAAATGGTGTCCTTTAAACATTATTTTCTTCTTCTTGCTGATTTATGAGAAATTCAATTTACTCTATTTTGATCTCGTGGCCAATTGCCTTGCAAAACAATCTTATTCTAGTAATTTATCTGTAGATTCTGACAATCATATCAACTATTAAAACAACCATTTTCCCTCTTTCTTTCCAATTCCTGTATCTTTTATTTATAATTTTCATCGTCTTACCATACTGGCTAAGACTTCCAATACAATGCTGAATAGACGCACTGATAGTAGTCATTCTTACTTGTTCTTGATTTTAAAGGAAATTCTTCCAATATTTTATCATTTAGACTGATGATTGTTGTAGCTTTTTTTTTTCATCATCAAAGCTAACATTTATTGATTGTCTTCTATGTGTAGATATTGGGTTTCACACTTTATAGGCAGTAATTGGCATATGTTGTACGTTTTTTGTAATACCCTTTATCAGGTTAAGGAAGTTCTCTTTTATTCCTAACTTGCTAAGAACTTTCATCAATGAATGGGTATTAAATTTTACTAAAAAAATTTTTTTTCATGTATGGAGCTCATCATATATTTTCTCCTTCAATCTATTATGGTGATGAATTATATATTTTTAATTTTCTAATACTAACAGCTGTGTTACAGAAAGACTGTATACACGATTTCTACTCTATACTACCTCACAGTAAAGGAATTACGGGTGATTCTTTTCTTCTTTATGCAAATTATCAAATTTTACCATTTTAGGCCGTTCTTAAGTTTGCTGTCTCTTATTTTTTCTTAGCGTCTATGATACCACTGTAACTGTGGGTCCTCCAGGACCAGGTGAACTGACCCCATCTGTTATCAACAGAGTGATTAAGAATTGCCTTTCAGAAAATCTTCAAATTCACATAGTCAGGGCATGTGCAAAAGAAGAAATCTTGACCTGAAATGACAACGGAACCAAAGATCCTCCTTCCCATGGAACCCAAGGACCAGAACATGACCGGAACTTGAAAGTCGGACTCTTACCAGAAGCGAGGGGTCCCTCATTCAGGAAGATCTGGTGTTAAAACTCCTTCTCCACCTCATCAAAAACGTTTAGAATCCTATCATAAAACTTTAGAACCTCATCAAAAACGTTTAGAACACTGTCAGAAATGTTTAAAACCTTACCATAAATGCTTGAAGCCCATCTATCGAATTCGGTCCTGCCAGAATTTCCCCGTGCCGGCCCATTCTCCCTAACCTCTTAAATTTTGCCCCAAATCCTGAATGAGAGAGACAGATCTGAGGGTACACGCCCCCATTCTTCCTGCAGATGGATCTTGCACAATAAAGCTGATCTCTTTTCCCAAAGGGTGATGCCATAATTAATTGGCTTGTGCGCATTGGGCAAGTGAACCCCAATTTTGTGGGGTGAAAAAACTACTCTTCTGGTTTGGTTCAGACTCTGCAAATTTAAAATCCTTTCTAACAACTAGGTACTTCCCATGCAGACTTCACCCTCTCACCTACTTAAGAGTGGGCTCCCTCACATTGCAACAGTTGTACTTGTTTATCAATGCCTATCAAAGAATTTTTACAACAAAGTTAACTTCAATTTATTTTCATGCAATCAGATCAGTCTAGGACAACATTTACAGAAAATCAGATCAAATATCAAAGTGAAGAAGAACTTGCAGAAGGCAAAAAAATTCCTGCACTATTTTTACATCACTCAGACACAAGCAGTAAGTAACCTTGGCCAAGAACTTTGGAGTTCTCCTTCACCTGGACTTTTTGGGTCCCAGGAGGCATGGTGTTTCCTGATGGGTATCAAGACAGGATATTGGATCTAAATGACCAGGAATCTATTACAGGGGAAAGGATCTGATCTTTAGCACAGTGATTATGCTTTTGATTTATTCTAAGCAAAGGGAATGAAAGCATAGAGGGGTCAGAGACTAGCACACGATTTTGTTTTCTCTCTCACACTGTGACCATGTTGGAATTTTAAATCACTAATTAATTTATTTAGCATTTACCAAGCATTTATTAATATGCTAGTTACTGTGCTAAGCCTTGGAAACATACTGTGCCTGACTTCAAAGAATTCATAATCCAGTGGACAGTAGCCTCATTATGGATTTAAGGAGAAGGGTAGGAGATGAGGCTGATTAGGTAGGCAAGGAAGCTAGATCATGGAAGCTTTCTGTGGCAGTGTATAAAGGCTGAACTGAGAAGCCAGTGGTAGTTTTTAAGCAAGGGAGTAACACGATCAGTTTTATGTCTTAGGTAAGGTAATTCAAGGAGCAATGGAAACATGCCTGGAGAAATGAGAATGAAGGAGGAGGCCTGGAACTGAAGACAGGGAGACCAGTTACAAGACTCTGAGAGATGAGGTCATGTGGCCTGAGAGAGGGCTTAATGTATAAGCAGCCCCATAAACCTGACCACTGCTGCATACTTTCCCCCTGCCCGCCCCCTCCCACTGGCCCCCATTCAAAGAAGTCTGCAGGCTGACACAGGACCACACAAGAGTATAGGTAGGAAGAGGCGGAGGCTGAGGAGGGTAAGCAAAATTATGAACCCTGGAGCTACACAGTTCATGATTTTTGTCATTTTTAAAGGATCAAGTCAAACATCTTTGAAAAATTCTATGTAAGATGAAGCTCTTGCATTGAATTTCAATGTGATTTTTCTCCTGACTCTTCAATGGAGATTAAAAATTTCCATACGAATATAAAGAATGAAACAACACTTACTCTTAGCTCTTTTTTTCTCCTCTTAAAGCGCCAAACCAGTATGGGTAGCAAATGTTCCTTGGCCCCCTCTGGTGGAAAACAAGTCAGCTCCCTTTGAAGAAGTGACAAAGCACGGACAGCTGGGGGATTTCAGAGCCATGATATTTATATTATGGGCCAAACAGAACTGTCACTGGAATAGGCAAGCAAACATGCCTTGGCACACAGCCCCTTCAGGGAGAGCCCTTTAAGGACATCAGAGAGCAATCCGAAGACGGTACATGAAGCAGTCCTGCCAGGTCCCATGTGCCTCTACTGGCACTCAACATCAGGTCAATTCCTATAATGCAGTTGGATGGAAGACAAAACTACTCTTCCTGTTTCCTAGTTAAAGTAGAGGCAGCTCAAAGCCATGCCAAGAAGTGGGACAGGCTGCTGTGAACATCCTGACCCTGGGGCTGAAGACCAGCAGCTGAAACTAGTGCACTGGGCCTGGGCAACCTCACTTTCTCCCTTCCTCTTATACATAGCCTTCCCAGAAACACCTGCCTCATCTTATGAAATTAGAAGCTCCTAAGAAATAAGAAGCCAGCCCTGGTGGTTTAGTGGTCAAGATTCAGCACTCTCACTGCCATGGCCAGGGTTCATTTCCGGTCAAGGAACCACACCACCCGTTGTCTGTTGTTTGTCATACTGTGGTGGCTGTGTGTTGCTGTAATGCTGAAAGCTATGCTACTGGTATTTCAAACACTAGCAAGGCCACCCATGGTGGACAGGTTTTAGCAGAGCTTCCAGACTAGGAAGAAGGACCTGGCTACCCACTTCAGAAAAAATTGGCCAGGAAAACCCTATGAACAGCAGTGAAGCATTGTCTGATATAGTGCAGAAAATGAGAGGATGGTACAAAAAAGACGAGGCAGGGTTCTGCTTTGCTGAACACAGGGTCGCTAAACGTCAGAATCGACTGGAAGGCACTAACAACAACCCAACAAAGAAGAAAGCTCAAAGGAGAACAACACATTTGATGACTAACTGTAAACAAACAACTGCACCAAATTAAAAAGAGAAAATAACTGCTGCAAATAGGACAAAGGATTAATATCCTTAATAGATAAATAGATATAAATGTTCAAAAAATATAAAAATGTTTTTAAAGAGATAAAAATTAAAATAAGATACAATTTCTCCCCCAAATCAAATTAGCAGATTTAAGATAATTCTCATTACCAATAAGGGTGCTTTGAGATAGTTACTCTGACACAATGGAAATCGGAGTGTAAACTGGTAAAATCTTTTCTGAAAAGTAATTGGCAATACATAGCAAAGGTCTTGAAGATATTCAGATCTCTCACCTGTAATTCTATTTCTATAATTCTATTTCTATAAATCTATAGTAAAGAAAATACATAATGCTCAACAAATATCTGCTGAATAAATGAATGAAATAATCAGATTATAAAAAGAGATCTGAAAAAAAGGTATTCCTCTTAATGTTACTTATAAAA